AGCTTTTATCTAATCCTTAAAAAATTTTAGGGTTACCTCTTCAGAAGGGGGGATATTAGAGTAGCCAAAGGCCCCATAAAAAAATTAAAGAAGAAAAAGTACATGAAGTTATCAGAAAAAAAGTGATGGGGAGATATGGGAGGAGTTGGAGGGAAGGGAGTGGGCATGGATTTGATCAAAACACCTTATATGCATGTATGATATTCTCAATAAATTATTTATTTTTAAAAAACACAAATTGTAGGTCATATACAACAGTATATGTTTTCTGCCATATCTAAATAGTCAGAAACTAAATAGATTGATACTCCTGCAATATGGTTCCCACAGGTCTATGATAAAAAGAGTAACATTTGTTAATGTTGAGTTCTTAGCACTGTTTGCATGTGATATGCCCTGCAAACACTGAATAGGATTCTTAATTTGAAGTACATTTCATTCCTAATGATAAAAGAAAAAAATATAGGGTTATGCTAATTGTTTATTCATTCATAAAAATTCACATAAAAACATCTTTAATGGGGATTGGAGAGAGTGCTCAGTGGTTAAGAGCACTGACTGACCTTTCAGAGGACCTGGGTTCAATACCCAGCACCCACATGGTGGCTAACATCCATTCATTACACCAGTTCTAGAGGATCCAATGCCATCGTCTGACTTCCTGGAGCACTGCATGACACAGGTGCACTTACACACATGCAGGCAATATACTCAAACATAAAAAATATATAATAAATAAAATATCTTTTATAGGCAGGAGGGATGGCTCAGCTGTTAAGTACAGTTACTGCTCTTCCAGAGGACAAGAGTTTGGTTACCAGCAACCAAGTCAGGTAGTTCACAACCTGTTATAATTGACCTCCTTGTATCCAATGACCCCTGACCCCCCGTGCGCACACAAACAGGTTTGCAAAAACAGACAAGCACACACACACACACACACACACACACACACACACACACACAAACTAAAAATTATATAAATTTTCTAAAAATTACTTCGAAGAAACTTTCCTTCTAGTTTTTTCAAATTACCTTAGGCTTTTTCCAGAACTTTCATAATGGTCTTTACAATTCTGATCTTCACAATTGTTTCCTAAAATGGAGTTTAAGATATTTTTGATGAATTAGAAACTAGTTTGTAGCTTTAGTGTATATAAAACATGCTTGATTTATACACCACAGTCTTCCTTTTCAATATTCCAAATCACAGAAGAGCATTAGTTCCAAAAAACACTTGCTCCCTAATATACTAAGGGAAGGCAAGATGATATTCTTACCTATAAAAGTGAAGTTCCTACAGGTTTCTAGCATCACATCTCTGTAGAGATTCTTCTGAAAAGGATTCAGCAAAGCCCACTCTTCCTGGGTGAAGTTCACAGCAACATCCTCAAATGTCACAGAATCCTAAACATTCCATAGACTGAACTGAAAATATGTTCACACAATTCTGTGCAATCCACACATTTTGTTCCACAACACAGAACTTCTAATGCAAGATTTGAATGGTTCTGAAAGGACAGCGTGCTGGAGGGACACTCCTCTCTCTACTGTGCACAGGGTACAGGATGTGCTGCTGCTCTGCCCCAGTTCTCTTTCTACAGCACATGTCTACTTCCTGCCTTAAGAAAGTCTGACCCCCTGATGTACAGAACAGAGGTACATTAGCATGCAAGGAACTGTTGTCCTTAGAAATTCCTGCTAGCAATGTTTAAGTTTTGATGGTGTGAAGAAATTCAATATTTGGTACAGATTGCATGAAAAGCGATAAATCACCCAGCATAAAGGATTTATACAAACGCTATGGAATGTTATGAATGGTTCTCATTTTCAAAGTCTATTTATCTATTGAAAACTCACAGAGATTACTAGAGGATCAGCCCCCGTGACCCCAAATAACAGGCATTGAGTGTAATGAGTTTCCTGGTGGGCACAAATTCACACATGCTGTCACAACTTGTTAATTGGGGAAATGAGTCCAATATGTACTTACAGAAGAAATAATGAATATGCTATATGTAGTTTACTCAAGCACAATTTTCTAAAAAAAATTTTTATTTTTATTTTATGTATGAGTGTATTGCACACACATATGTAACTGAACCTGTGTTATGCAGTGTCTGAGGAGGTCAGAAAAAGGCATTGGATTTCCTGTATCTGGAGTTACCAAGAATTATTAGCCAATATGTTAGTCCTATGAATCGAAATTGGTTACTCTGTAAGAGCAGCCACTGCTCTTAACCACTGAGCCATCAATCCAGCCCTTCAACCACAATTTTAATCAACTGACAAATAGGATACGCAATCACTATTTAGAGATCCTAAAACAAAAAACGTTTAGGTAATATCAAATGGGAATAAAGTAAGTATAAAGGCAACATGTGCTTCAGAAAGAACTCAATGTAGTCAGTCATGTTGTATAGTCACAGCTGTGTCAGAGAATGAGACAAAGGGTTCCCCTGAGACTGAGTCCAAGGCAGCCTATGCTATGTAGTAAAACGGCCATCACAGGAAGAAAAGAGGGAGCGAAAAAGGACTGGGATGAGGAAGGGCAGGAAGCAGGTCACCAAACCTCATGATTTCATTTTAAAGAAAATTTCATGAATCATCAAACCAGACAATTTTGTTGTAAAAAACTATTTTTTGAAATAGACTAGGAATTGTCAAAGTTAAAGAACAACACAGTGATGTTTTGCCTAACACAGTATAAGGACTTTGAAAAAGTAAGGTAAAGAAAAAGGGCCAAAATTAATTGCCACACTTTACAAATCAGCTCCCGGAGTTCAGGGAGCTGGCTCTGTAGGTAAAGAGCACGCCACAAAAGCTTGATGACCTGAATTTGATCCCTGGAACCCACAAAAAGTCAAAACAAAGAACAACAACAAAAAAAGTTGTTCTCCTGACAATTGTGATATGCACTCACCCATATACACAAACATTATACACTTGACAATTATATTTTAAAACTTCAAAATAAATCAAGCGAACATTTGAAGCCCAACCCTTAGTGACCCATGACATAGTACACACACATCTTTAAACTAATTCTTATCATACAATGGTGCCCTATAAGACAATCACTTTTAAAACTTTTTAAAAATTTTTATTTATTATTTTTATTTTATGTGTATGCGTGTATTGCCTGCATGTAGGTAAGTGTACCTGTGTGCATGTGGGTGCTGGGATTTGAACCTGGGTCTTCTGCAAGAAAAACCAGTGTTCTTAACCGCTGAGCCATCTCTCCAGCCCCAACTTTTAAAGCACTTTTAAAACAAGTTAAAATCTTCAATTTCAGTCTTAAAAAAAAATGACATGAACACATACTAAGGAGGGTTTTCAATGAGACACCCGTTTTTCCGTCAGCCACAGTCCTACAAGTAACCCCTCAGCCATTCTTCTGTAAGTAAGTGCAATAAATTTATTAGACTTTGATAGAATCATTTCTTTTGAGTGTCACTGCTGTCTGTGGGACCGTGGCAGTATGCCAGACATGTACTCTGATCTGAGAAAATCACAGTTGGCCAGGCCTTCACTTCCCTAGAAGACTTCTTCACAAGACCAATGCAAAGCTAGTGCCTTTGTGAACATCACCTCCAGATCAGTCCAGCTTTCCATGCAGACACTGAACAGGAGGCTCCAAAATGAAATTTGGTTTCACTTCCATGAGGCAGAAATCCATGGTTCTAAATGGGATGCCATGCCTTAGAGTGTTGAGACAAGTTCCTTTCACAAAACTGGGAGATCTGTCATACTATACCTGCCTTTTCATTGGCACTACACAGAACTGGGACCTATGATGGATCTTGCACCCACCATACCCTGACCTGGGGGAAGGACTGAAAATTTGTATAAATTTAAACAGTCCATTTCATATGCAGATGGTACCATGTCTATTCATACCACAGATGGCAATGACACTCAAAAGAAATGATTCTACCAAAGTCTAGTAAATTTACTGTGCTTACTTACAGAAGAATGGGTGAGGGGTTACTTGCAGGACTGTGGCTGACAGAAAAACAAGTCTCTCATGGAAAATCTCCCTTAGTATGTGTAATGTTCCACAAAAACCTCCATCTAGAAAGGTTCCTGAACAACTACTGGGGAGTTTCAAGGCCAGAGAGTGAGCACCTTCAGTATTTGTTAGTGTCTATGTGTGTATATAATGTTGATGAAGGGCACTGTGAACCTTGTTTCAGGAGATTACTGAGCCTCCAAAGTTTACTTTAACAGAGAACTTTATTTTTCTTATGTGTATGTTCATGGCTCTGAGTGAATGCCATGTGTACATACGTAGTTCCCTTAGAGGCCAGAAAATGATGTCAGATTCTCCGGAACTAGAGTCCCAAGCAGCTTTGAGTCCAGACATGGCTGCTGGAAACTGAAATCTGGTTGCTTATATGAGCAGCAAGTGCTCTGAACTGCTGAGCCATCTCTCCAGCCTCCCAAGTTTACTTTTTAAGTGTCATAAGGCTCTCTACTTCCTACATGAGAAAATGTGAATTTAGAAAAGAAAAATATGTATGAAACACTCCATCCCTTCCCAGGCTCTTAGGTGCATTTTTCCCCTTTCTGGACCTTCTTTGGTTATGTGCACTGAGCCCCTATTTGTATCTTTCTGTGCTTCTGGTGACTTCTAACACCAAGGGACAAAAATACCATAGGGAAAACACTTGTCCAGCCAGTCCTACAAGCACTCTGTTGACTCTATGCAATCCCGATTAAAATTCCAACACAATTCTTCACAGAAATTGAAAAAAATAATCTAAAATTTCATTGGGAAGCACACACACAGACACACACACACACACACACACACACACACAATACTACACAGGATAGACAAAACAATCCTAAACAATAAAAGAAATGCTAGGGTGATTACCATCCCTGATCTCAAATTTTACTACAAAGCTATAGTAATAAAATTGGATGGCACTAGCATCAAAACAGACACACTGATCAATGGAATAGAAGTGAGAACCCAGGTTTGAGTCCACATAGTTGCAACAACTTGATTTTTAACAAAGGGGCTCAAACACATACTGGACAAAAGACACCATGTTCAAAAAATGGTGCTGGTCAAACTGGATTGCTACAAAAAGAATGAAACTAGATCCCTATCTCTCACCATGGACAAACCTAACTCCAAATGGATCAAGAACTTCAACATAAGACCTGATACCCTCAATCTTATAGAGGAGAAAGTAGGGAATATACCAGAACTAAAGGATGCACGAAAGGACTTTCTGAACAAGACTCCTATAGCACAGGAACTAAGTCTACAATTGACAAATGGGACTTCATGAAACAAAAAGGTTTCTATACGGCAAACAACACCATTATTCAAATGAAGAGGCAACCTGCAGAATGGAAAAAAAAATCTTTACCAGTTATATGTCTGGCACAGGGTTTAGATCTAGAATATAAAGAATTTTAAAAACTAAACATCAAAAAACCCCAAACAACTCAATTACAAATTGGAGTAAAAACAACTGAACAGATAATTTTCAAATGATGAAACACAAATGACTGAGAAATATTTAGAAATTGTTTGAAATCTTTAATTGTCAGTTAAATGTAAAGTAAAAGAACTTTGAAATTTCATCCTACCCCAGTCAGAATGGCTAAGATCCAAAACACAAATGATGACAAATGCTGGCAAGGATGTGAGGAAAGAGTAACACTTATTCACTATTGGTGGGCACATAAACTGATACAGCCACTATGGAAATCACTGTGGATATTCCTCAAAAAGATGAAGATACATCTCCCACATAACCTGTTGGGGGACCCTGCTGCTAAGGTTGTAGCCCTCCATGTCCGGGTAGTTCTAAGGGGCTCAGCGCTATATGGAAGGACTCCCTTTCTCAGTGGGGACCTCCTGCTCTCTGCCTGACTTACCTGGAAAGTGCCATCAAGCAGGGATGCCTGACCTTATTTGGAACATGACCTTTGGCATAGTTACCTGCCATAAAACTGCCCCCAGCTTTTTTCTATATGATAATTAGGCATTGCCCTATAGTTGGATGATAGGATCCCCCTGTCACATGTAAATAAAGCATACTATGAGCACCTATCAGCTGAAGCTTTGGCTCCTGCCTCCACACTATATTTTTCCTGACCCCCACTGAATAAACAGAGCTGTATCACTGAATCTGACTCCCCGGAAAGTCTTTTCTGTCATGCTCACTGGCCGTCCTGAACCCATTCATCGGAGCTGTATCACTGAATCTGACTCCCCGGAAAGTCTTTTCTGTCATGCTCACCCATTCATCACTTCTGCTCCCTTTGTCCTCATGGATCGGTGGTCAACGACCCACAAGGGGAGGGAGAGACCCACAATAAGCCAGTCATATCACTCTTGGGAATATGCCCAAAGGACTCTGTATCCTACTACAGAGATACCT